TTCCTACGAAATATCTATCGTCCTTATCTCCCCCTCGTTCTTTTTTATGTTTGTTACTCTCTTGTAACACCTCTAATCTTCTGGCGCTCATATGACCTTATGCAGTTGCGAGCGCCGTAAAATCTCTACTAAAACAAACAAATGTACATTTGTCTGTTTGTCTGTCTGTTCCCCAGACATGTACATTTGTTTGTCTGTCTGTCTGTCCCCCAGAGCCCACCAACTGGAAGTACCCTGTTGGACTTGGCTGGCCCCAGCAGTTCGGGACCCCCGACCTCCGACCCCTGGGGCATGCCCCTCCCGGCCAGCTCTGGACCCCCGACGGACCCTTGGGGCGGCCCACTCCCCGCGCCCACCACCAGCGCGACCACGCCCGACCCGTGGGGTAGCGGAGCGGGTGGGGCGGCCGGCGGGCAGCCTCCCCCGTACAGTGCGGTCCACGCCTCTGCGGGCAGCTCCCAGCCACAGAGCTCTACGGACGCTTGGGGCATGCCTGTCGCAGCTCCTAGTCCCCACAGCACAGGTCAGTGTATGTCGGTGTGTGTGTGTGTGTGTGTCCGAGTGTGTGTGTGACTTATCTTGGTGATTTGTTGCTGATCCCGATTTTTTTTATGATCCCCCTTGAGATCCTAATTTTTAGATTTCTTAAAGTGGCAAGTCTGGTGTGTGTGTGTGTCTGAGTATGGGTGTGTGTGTGTGTCTGAGTATGGGTGTGTGTGTGTTGTATGTGTCTGTGTTTGCGTGTCTGTCTGTGTGTGGTTTCCTCCCCTGTGTTAGCTCAGACAGAGACAGTGCTCCCAGTACCCTTTGATCTTGTCCTTGTCAACTCCAGCTGCTCCCGACAATGGCTTAACTTGTAGATTTCACCATCTGGCTCCTAGCTTTCATCCTCGTAGCTTTCGTCGTCTGGTTCATAGCTTTCATCCTCGTAGCTTTCGTCGTCTGGTTCATAGCTTTCATCCTCGTAGCTTTCGTCGTCTGGTTCATAGCTTTCATAGAGAGTTTGCTCTAGTTCAGTGTAATATATATACCTTATAAAGAGAGTTTGCTCTAGTTCAGTGTAATATATATACCTTATAAAGAGAGTTTGATCGAATATAATATAAAATACCGTATACATAAGGTGTGGTTGTAGCATTGTTTAACATATTTTATGCATAGAGTATTGATCTGATATAATGTGATATACCGCATACATAGAGTATTGATCTAATATAATGTACCGCATACATAGAGTATTGATCTAATATAATGTACTGCATACATAGAGTATTGATCTAATATAATGTGATATACCGCATACATAGAGTATTGTTCTAATATAATGTACCGCATACATAGAGTATTGATCTAATATAATGTACCGCATACATAGAGTATTGATCTAATATAATGTACCGCATACATAGAGTATTGGTCTAATATAATGTACCGCATACATAGAGTATTGATCTAATATAATATACCGCATACATAGAGTATTGATCTAATATAATGTACCCCATACATAGAGTATTGATCTAATATAATGTACCGCATACATAGAGTATTGGTCTAATATAATGTACCGCATACATAGAGTATTGATCTAATATAATGTACCGCATACATAGAGTATTGATCTAATATAATGTACCGCATACATAGAGTATTGGTCTAATATAATGTGATATACCGCATACATAGAGTATGAAACTGCTAAAGTAATTATCATCACCTGCTGGTTTTGTATTTATAAGTCTTGGGAAGATAAATGGTTTTATTCAAAAGTAAGTGGGGCTTCCTGATGGTCTAGCTAGAGCATACATTGCTGACAGGTAGAATAAAATTATTCGTAGACTGTTCCTGCCAGAATCATTTCTTATTTTTCCTTTTTTTTAATGGAAACTTTTGCCGACTACTCAAATCCCTCAAATTTCCCCCCCCCCCTCTCCAAACGTTTGACCCATTTTTTCTCTGTGCACACATTTGGCTGCTTCTTGTGGTTGTGAAATTCTGTCCCCACGGTTTTATGCACCCGCATAATTTTGTAAAATTTGATCATTTTTTGCATAATTTCTGATTATTTTCCTTTATCGTTCTTTGTTGAAATTAACAGACTGGCATAATTTCACATTTCTGGGCTCAGTTTGCAGAATTTCAGAATTTTTCTTGCTTAAAACGGCGGGGACAGGAAATTCCCACAACTGAGTTGATGTAACGGAAAACTTCTCAGTTCTGGGAGATGCCGTTGTTTTCCCCGCTTTCTTTTGTGTGTGTGTTTGATGACGTACGTCCTCATGTTGGATGACTTATGTCCTCATGTTGGATGACTTATGTCCTCATGTTGGATGACTTATGTCCTCATGTTGGATGACTTACGTCCTCATGTTTGATGACTTATGTCCTCATGTTGGATGACTTACGTCCTCATGTTTGATGACTTATGTCCTCATGTTGGATGACTTACGTCCTCATGTTTGAT